AGCTCAATCCCTTGCTTATTCGCTTCGCATAGGCTACACAAGCGGTACACTGCACACCAAGCCAATCTCGAAGAAAAAATTTAACTATACGCAACTACATTTGTGAACTGGGAGGGACGGAATCTACGCTACGATCTTTCTTATCTTATGAAATTTATAGTTACAGAAAGAGATCATTTCTAAACCAGAATCTTAGGATACCACCACTAATAGAAGGACAAGGACCGGAGACTTGAACACCAGCCAGATAGGCATTCACCAACAAAGACTAGCACATCGCTTACTGATGAAAGACTGTCTGCTGGATACACCATTCGTACTACTACTGAATCGAACAAAATAACGATTATGAAAAAAATAATTTTTTTTAGGAGTTGGGGAATCTAGGCCTAATCTATTAGAATAGGTCTAGGCTGGAAGGTCGAAGCCTAAAGACTTTCAAGGTCAAAACCATTCCGCTCGAAAACCAGCCTTCAAAGAAAGTCAAAGACTGGCGGACCGCATACGCGCTTACTTTTTTTCGTTTGATAGGCTGGTCCCTAGGCTGAAACTTATATGCTTCTATCACACTCTTCTTTTGCCCCAATGGCGATGAATTAAGGTTGTAGAGCGGGTCAATCCTTGGAGCTTTCTCCATGCCCGACAGAGAAAACTTGGTGCGAGTCGGGGTACATACGCTCCTGCTCGTCTAACTAATGTACTGATGTAATTCCTAATATGGCTTCCCGGAGAATCCGTAGCTGCTAAGGAAGAGGGTCGAGCCATAACAGATTGATGTGGCGTAGCAGCGACTGGAATCGATCTGAATGTAGCTTCAAGCGTAGTTCTGGGGCTTCTCCTATACCCCCCGCCTATATGGAGTGGAGGAAGATTTGGTGGGGAAGGTCATAGTGAAGTCAGCAAGCAGGAAAGTAGCCGCCCCTATTTGATCGTGCACAACCCCTGCCACGAGACACCTAATCGAAGAAGCGCCTTTCTCTCATCTTTTTTAGAATTCAACATCCAGTTCATAGAGAACTGCCTACTCCCACCTCGACCGAGAAAGAGATCTAAGGCTTCTTTTAAGAAAGTAAAGCAGGAATAGATGGGCTGCCCCTAGCTCTAAAAAATTTCTAGATTTTGCTATCAAAGGAGTGCTTTCATTCCCTGCCACCCGCTTTTATAATTGGTTGTTCCTTACCGGCATCTCAAGAAAAAATCTTTCATGATCCATTCTTCCGAAATTGGATAGAGAATAGTTGGGATATTCCACTGGGAGGGAGAGGCGGGGGTGACATCAGAAGTAGGATCATCGAACGGATAGCAACATAACATTGAGAATTGACTCGTCGAATTAACCACTTAGACAGAGAGTTCCCTATATTCCATTTCATTGGCAACCGAAATAGATCTAAACAGCGTGCCCAGAGCGAAGGAAGGGCTTCAAAAATGAATGGAAAAGTCAAATCAATGAAAGGCCCAGATGTAGCCTTTGTGTGCGGAGCAAGCCTACACTGGTTGAGATGAAGAAAATGTCGACACCGATAAAATGTTTGAAAACATAGACAACGGAAGGGAAGAAGTCACTCTCAATCCAATCTAGCAAGAAATGCTATATCGATAAAGTCAAGCGAGAGAGCTCATTAAGAAATAAGGCCATCTTCCATCCGCCTTTTTGTTTTAGACAGGGCGAGGCTAGTACGAGACTCCGAACCATGACGAATCTTGTCTTAGGAAAGATAATGGGACGGGAGGCCTATCTGACCGTTTGTTTGACTTGACTGCCTCAGATCAGCTTGACACCATGCTATGCCCCTTGATTATGAATGGCCTATCACTGGAATGTCTTTCCATTTGAGGTGATTCTATCTACTGAGAAGATTTCTATTCATCGAATGTCCGTCGTGTGAATTTCTCTGCTGTTGAACAAATAGTCATATGCAAATAATGGTATTTTAAGAATGCAAAGCTTATGTCTGTCTTGAAGTTTGATAATTCATTTTTTAGTAAAACAAACAAATTTTGTATAAGTGTGATGTCAACTCAGGATTTATAGAGAACCCTACAGGAGTCAGGATACCTTTTGTAACAGTATGCTTTCGAACTAACCCATGCTTCATCTAGGACTTTTAAGGGTTATAACTTGGCCTGGTTCATGGTTTAAGAAACAAAGGGTAAAGGCTCAAAGTTTATTTGCACCCACCCGTTCTTCGTGATGTTCTTCGATCCAATGCTCAGTTAATTGTATGTTCAGATCCCAATTGAGTCTGGCATCTTGTTCTTGATGTTTCGGTGATGGTTCGGATACTGGAAGTTTATTTTGAAGAGGCAGTAATTTTTGTAATCTTCTTTTTGTTGAGGATTTGTAGCGACCTCCTTTTTTTTTATTATCCCTGCTTTTTCCTGAACTGGTTCTTTTATGATTACAGTCAGCGGGATGCCCCAATTTTTTCTTAAGTTTCCTTCATAGGTTTTGACTTAGCGGGATTTTATTTTGAGAGATAATGATTGCCGACTTTAATAATTATGCGGAACCATCACCATCTTTTGATTTGGAAGGACGTCTTTGATGCCATTCATTGTGTACGAAACGGAAAATTGCGACTGAATGCGCGTCTAAATTGACTGAGAAACTACCCTGCCCCAGGTTATAATTAAGGGTTTTAATTTGTGTGAAAAGAAAAAACTCCTACTTCTTTGGCTCAAAGGAGTTGACTAGGGATTATCTACCTTATAACTCCACTGTTTAGGATTTTAAACAATGCTTGTACATCGTCAGCGGGATCTATTCAAAAGCATATTGTAGAGATTATGGTATCATTTTCGTCATCCTCCCTCTAAAGGCTCAGAGCTTTTGATCAAGAGTTGAATATCACAAAAAAGAAAGCAGTTTAAATATAGTGAATACGAATGAATTAATTCAAAACAGACATATGCAATGCATTGATAAAGTAACAAAGTTTGACATGAATAAATGTTCGAACAATCAAAAGAAAATTACAAATTGAAAGTTCTAATGAACAAAAGTTTCTTCGTCTGATCTTGTCACTTCAGATGGAGTGCCTTGGAGGGATGGCAGAAGAACTCAGCATGACCATCTTGTGTAAACTCCAGCACTCTTTCATCAATCAAGTTTTGAATTTTATATTTCAACATCCAAAAATCGTCAGTATCATGCCCCGGACTGTTGGAGTGATATGCACACTTTGCATCAGGATTGTAGTTAGGGGAAGAAGTCTTGGGATTCAGAAGAGGCCTTATCAACGTAACCAGATTCATCAACATGTGTTGTAAAGCTTGAGACAACGACATGTTGAGTTTGGTAAACTTCCGCTTGGGTGTATCCGGCTTACTCCCATTTTTTTTGGAGAGGTTGTTGTTGGACCCGTGATGTGGTAGCAATTTGGAAAGTTCCACTCTTCACCAAACCAACCTCTTGTATTCTAGGAGGTTGCTCAATGACTTGGTCCCTAACCTCGACTGTTTGCTTCACACGGTTGCATCCTTCTTGATGAAGCTTGTTGATAATGCCTCTCAGCTCTTCTTGTACCCGAGCCAGGCCTTGGATAAGATCCATCTGCCTCAGCATCTGGGTTCTCATTGCTTCAACCTCAGCTTGCAGTTGTTCCAATCATTCGTCCTTATTGTCTTCAGGACTTTTCTTGGCCAGGTTCCCAGCAAGGAGTGCTTTCAACTCTTCCTTCCCCTTGGATAGGTTTAAGAACATTTCCATGAACTGATCCTCTTGAGTTTGAAGATCTCCGTTGTCTTGTTGGAGATCCATTTTCCTTGCTGAAATAAACAGCGAGAAAATGAGAGACCTGTATTAGAAGACATGTTATTCAAATGACATGCGTGCAATGTTTTCAAGGATCTCGTGGGGTAAACAAGAAAATGTTAGAATCCAATTGCAGCTTTGATTGAAGAACTTTCATATCATTGAAGGTCCTTCTACAAGAATCAAGCTCACCATATCAAGTGGGTCATAACCCATGACTCAAGTTGTTGAGTTTTGATCTTTTTATGACATTGGCTAGAGGAAAATAAATCCCCTTGCCCCTTTCTAGACGTCTGATTTATCATAACCTGCATCACAAACCCTTGAGATCCTTGAAATGGTTAAGGAAATGTTGTGGCATGATGTTATGATGTGTATGTTATGCGTTAAGCAAAAGTGTAAGGTGATGAAGACAAGTGAGTCTAAGAAGTCCAGGTTACTGGATAATGATTGTAAACAAATCCTGCAAGGAGATCATGTTGTTAGATAAAAACCCAGCAACTAACTCAAATTTAAAGCAAACAAATCACACAAGTAACCTTAGGTTTAGGCTTGCATAGGGTTTGTAGGTAAGTACCCTCTTGAATGTTTATTTGGTTTAACCTGTCCTATAAATAGTAAATGGGTTCTAAGGGATCTCAATATCATTGATCTTTCCCACAAGTTTCGTTCGATAGGCGACTGACTCACAACCAAATAAAACTCAGGCGTCAAACCTCAATGAGTATAGCATCGAGTATCTGTCGAATTTGGGAATACACCAAAGACGGCCATCTCGCTACGTGCTAATGGCCAAGTTGTTCATTTAAAGGTTCTAAGGTCAGTTGACACTTCATGACACCACGCAGCGGCCCCATATTCT